GCCACTTCGCCACAAATATTTCTGAAGTGCCATAAGTCGTGGCTCAAGTGCAAATCGAAACTCAATTTGAATGTACAATTTTTTGTATGAACAATAAATATTCTGACAGGATTTCAGGTACTTTTTTCAGGCTAGTTTTCGGGTTGGCACAATGCCAACTACGAACTTTGGCGCTACCGTATACGTGGTGTGGACATGCACGGTAGCTGAATTTGAAATCTTTAGCGCATACATGTACAGAGAATATCCCTGCAAGGTTTCAGCCATCAAATTTCCCAAAACAACCCTTTTTCGTGGACTTCCTGTCTGGGCCAACTCCTGTTCTGCCGGAAGGGCTCACATTCCTTCTCTTCTGGGGTGATACCAATTTTCTTTATTTAAACACCCCATTCTTTCAGTCGAGGTCTTCGTCTTTGCCTTGATCTTGGTCATCGGTCCGGCGCGGCTAAAATTCCTCACCGTCAGTTCTCCAGCGACGCTGCCTACCTAGCCTCCACCCCTGGAACACACCGAGGAGCCCTGCTCGTCCACGCAGTCTCACCTCCCTACACTCAGTCCATGGCTGTCCTTCTGCGTATCGCCGTACGTAAATCATAGACATTTGTTAATTTGATCCTGGCCCTCATAACACAGAAACAAACGCACATCAATCCACCGCGCTTTTACCGCTTGTTGTTGAGTTGAAAATGAGTGACAGAGCTCATTCTCTTCCAAACATACATACACACTCACACGGAGGACCTTTTTGCTCACTGTGGCAGTGCTATAGCGCTGCACAGCAAAAACGCATAAAAAGGACGATGGGCTTTGGGGAGCCGAAGCTCCCCAGAACGGATGTTGCCCGCTCGCACCCACCCATACACACACCTCCCGCACACCCCCGCCCGTATGCGCCATCCATTTGCTCATGGCTCAAAAATGCACAAAGTCTGGATAGTGAATCGCAGAAGAGTTCGCCGCCGACCCTACCTTGGGCAACTGAGCCAGTGCGTTTCTCACGCCTAGCTTTTCAGCTGTTTTGCTTCTTACAACGAACTGTTGCATTGATGACCGGCCGCACGAAGTTTTTTTTTTTCTCTGGATCCAGTGCTGATGTCTTTGTTATTCCTCCGTCGTTCGTCCGCG